GCGATCGCAGTATGCAGACTGCAACCGATCCCACTGAACGTGGTAAAAGGATGGAACCTTGGTAAAGTTGTGTGGCAAAGGTTTGCGAAAGTGACTCCTATCAAACGGGTCTGGAGGTATTCCGGCCGATCTGTGTCTAAGGTCAAGGAAAGGTTGCGATTTCCTAAACCCCAAGTGACTACCAGTGCTGGAATGCAAGACTCGGAGGGACTTGGCTCTCGAACATCCTACCAGTAATGGAGATTGGTACTACGGGAACCCCAAGGGCCCCAGATGGGCCTGTCTGTGATTGGACTTACTGATTGTGGTTACACCCCGCATGTTGGGGTAGAGGAGATGCACCTTAAGTACTCAGATGTTGGAATATCCATAATTTAAATATCTTAAAATTAAAATATTTGAAATCTGATATTGGAAAACTTAAATTGTTAAATATTTGATTATTTAAAATTTCAAATTTTTGGATTTATATGTAAGGTTGAGATTTTGTGACACATCTCTACGACAATCGGACGGTTTTCAGTTTTTTGACTTTTGTCCACGTTTTTCGCGATTTCTTCCACTGTACGGCGTGGAAACTAAAAATAAGCGCCATCATCGGTGCACCGCTTCTAGCATCTGGTGTATTACTATTTAAGTCCGTGTTTCTTTTGTGTTAAAATACGTGTGTTTTGTGTGCTGGTAGATGTGTCTTTCGCTAGTCATCGGGATATCCTTTGAATCTGTGCCATTGCAACTGCTGCCATTTCCACGAAAAGGAATTGTTACGTTGCGCTGCCAGTTGACGACTTGGCTGCTGCCATGCAGAAGATAACGAATGGGTTTTCAGCGTGATTTTTACTTATATTGTGGAAATATTGTATTGTGGAAGCCCCCAGCTAGCGCTTCAGTTGTTTTGTTGCATTGTTTCCAACAAGCAACATATTGTTCAGGTGAATTGTACATACCTGTTAACTTTTAAACAAAAGAAGAAACAATGGCAGTTTATGTTGGTCAGAAGGTCGATAAGAACAAGTAATTGTTTAATTTTTTTTAAATATTATTCTGAACTTTTATAAGGAACTATTATATAAGGAAAATGTTGTTCATACTTATTACGTGTTAATAGATGTTAATACAATGTTATTGATAGCTGATTCATCTGTGAAACAAGCAGAATGAATTTTGCTAAAATTATTCGAAAAATGTTGAAATTTTAGATAAAAATGCAGGAATTTGCATCAGTTATTAAACCAAAGTGCTCCTTCGATGACGTCAGTGATTTATTGCGACTATACATTGCTAAGTACTTATCAAATTATAGTAATTATAGTATGTAATAGCAGTATTAGCATCTAGCAAGGAGGAGCTTTAAATAAAATGGAAGCGGTATTGACAAAACAGTACTGTATGAAAATAAATAAAAATAAAACAAAAATACTGGCATGCAAGGGAAGAAAAAGTAGGGAAAGAGCGAATATAAAGATAGGAGACGAAAAATTAGAAGTGGTTGATTTTAGGTATCTAGGAAGTCAGATAAGTCAGGACGAAAGGAATAGTAGGGATATAAAGCAGAGGATAGCGCAGGGTCGAGTCGCCTTCAATAAGAACAAGTCACTTTTATGCTCGCGAACGGTTAATTTAGAAATTCGAAAAAGATTGTTGAAGGTGTATGTTTGGCGCACGGCGCTGTACGGGTGCGAAACATGGACAGTGGGTGCGGCGGAAAAGAAAAGGTTAGAAGCTTTCGAAATGTGGTGTTACAGGCGAATGATGAGGATATCGTGGATAGAGAAAGTTAGAAATGCAGAGGTATTAGAAAGAATAGGAAAACAGAGGACTTCATGGAAGTAAATAAGAAATAAGGGAGATAGGTTGGTAGGACATTTTCTCAGGCATAAAGGTCTAGTCAGAGGCCTAGATTAAATTACTGTTGTATGTACAATGTTCCTACTAATACCAAAATTATGTATATTACAAAAATCTGTCTGTACGCAAATAGGTCGTCCGCATCTGGGTGGACATCCTAACAAGTAGATACCTTAGTAAAACCTTTGTCTAACATACATTTCAAATACTTCAGTTAGCAGCACATCTCAGTAGATGGCGATATAGTGCAATAACTAGATAAGTATAGTAAAAGTCAGAAGCCACACTGTGATCTGATTGAAAGCAGTTTCATTGTATCTGTTGTTTAAATTGTTCCCGCAAGACATATATTATATTATGCATGATTAGTTCTGTTAATCATTTCACTTTCTCCCTTTTAATTAATTTAGAAATCAGTTCGAAATTGTGTAGCAATGCTTATATCAGTAGCTAAGAATTTTAAAATTCCTGCGGCATTTTTGAGAGTTACGATAATTTCAATGTTACCAGATTTATATATACAAACAAAGTGAAGTGTAGGTTTGTTACAAAGAGTTATAGTTGAATATTATAAATTGTGCTTAATAATTCAGTTTCTAATTTTCTGTTTCATTGGTTTTTAGTGCTTCAATAGTTTGATGTTATTTACTACTAATTTATTGGTGTATTATTATAGCCTTTTGCAGCACTTAACATTGTTGTACATTTTTTAACTTAAGACCAGTATCACATTATCACTTGATACGGCTGCAAATAGGTAGTAGGTATGTCTGTTCTTTTCGTAACTAATGTTAACGAAGTAGGTAATTATCGCTACTTTGGCGAATTAATATTGGATAGTTTACTACATGATGGATGACTTCCTTACTAGTGAAAGGTGGTGTTGTGATACACGTGTGCTTGCGTGTGTGTAGGTAAAGTAAGATCTGTCGCAGGGATTTTCCAAAATGTCGATTGCAAATAAAGCTAATGAAGGCGGAAATGCTAAATAGGGGAATTAGGAAATCCTTAATGGGTATTACTGAAGACTTCTTTTTAAAAATGTTAATCTGTAGCTTTATATGTTCCTATACTGTTTAATTAATATTAATATCTAATAAATAAAAAGGGTTTTCTCTGATTGTGAGACTTATTTATGTTGAAACCGTCTCTGTTTCATAAGCTCTATAATCGATTGACTGTCGTAGTCATTTATCTCGATGGCTTCTTTGTGGAAAAAGAATAAAAAGAAAAGAGGCAGATTACGAAAACAATACAGCGTTCATAAAACACGATCGAATAATTAATCGACTTAGGGGTTTGGTTGGAATAAATCTAGAATTCGGTATTTAGTTAATACCAAAATTCTTTTGCTATATAGGGCCGGCCATCACAGTGCATTTAACAAGAGAATTTTATTCACTGTAATATCGCTTGTAGCGTTGTTTGACGTATGTTAATGTAGCAATTTCACTTCATGGTTGATTATGCTTAGAAAATCATGTTTTTTTTTCTTCTTTTAAATGGGATGGAGAAAATACATATATGTAGAAAGAATAGGTACTACAACTGTGAAACATTACGTCCTGTAGTGTGTCGCCATCTAGAAATGCTTTCTGATAGCAGTATTTCAAAGGTTTGATTCTATACACGGTGATGCAGCAGTTTGATATTTAGTCATTTTATTTGTATGTAGAAACTTCGGTTTGGTTTTTAGAACACGATTGGTGATATAAGTATCTACTATATGGTATGCTGACGTGCTGATGAAAACCAATTAAACTATTGAAGATAGAGATAGAGAAGATAAGCAAATGTTAAAAACAGAAAATCACATTAATCGCAAGTGAAATAATCTACATACATTCGGCTTTCCTTCACGACCAATAAATTGGTAAAGTGTAAAGTTTTGAGCTATCGAATAAATTTTTTTTGAACTATGATGATAATTTTATTCGGTTTTGAAGCATGGAATTTGGTGTTTGGGTGTAAGATAGAACGTAGAGATCTTTAGGTAACGGCCAAGGACATGGCAACACGTGATAGCAACCGATGTTAATGCTGTCAATGACATCGTAAGATAAATGGTGTATGTTAATGAATGAGAATTGTTCTTATTAACTGTGAGAGAGGAGCAAAATGTATCTTCAACGGGCTTGACTTGTTCGCTTCTCGCCATTTCAATTTTGTTTTAGGATTTGAAATTTCCCATGCGTCCATGTTTCGTGTAAGCACTCAATTAATTAGTACATTAGGTACATACTTACTTCTAATAAATTAATTGCAATAGTCAACGCGAGCGCAGCAGTGGATAGAACCTATCATGAAATTATGTAGACACATTGTCAGGGGTACATAATGGGACATACGGTACTTTTTATCCAGAAAAAATACTGTTCCCGAGGGATAGAAAAAAATTAAGGAAAAGGTCTAGATGATGGGGGGGATCGAAAGAGGAGGTCTCCCCCACCACTGTATCATAAAAAGTTCGTGGCGGTCTCACCCCCATAAAACGTTATTGGGGTTCAAAGTTAATAAATATGCCAATTTTTATGCATTTCTAGGCATGTAAATATTGATATAGTCATTCTTAAACAATATTCAAAGGTAAAACTAATGAAAAATGCATAAAAATATTGAGAAAGTTATATAAAACGTTATTTAAATATCTTTATCAATAATGTAGGTTAAGTTAGGTCAGGTTATCGGGTTTTGTTCAAGTGACCATCCTCTTTCGATTCCCCACCTCCACCCCCTTGAAAATAATTTTTTTATTGAATTTTATTTGAATTATAGTGTATGAAAATTGTCAAAATAATCAACTTTCAACCCCGCAATTTTTTTATCGGGTTTTACTCACGAGACCATCCTCTTTCGATCCCCCTACTCTTTTTTGATACTTCCTACCCCCACCCCCATCTAACCCCCATAACTTTTTATGGGGGTGAGACCGCAACGAACTTTTTATGGTACAGTGATGGGGGAGACCTCCTCTTTCGATTCCGCCCACCCTTCGGGGGTGGGGGCCATAATCTAGACATTTACCAAAATTAGTTTTATGTGGTTGTCGATGATCTTTGATACGATATCAACGGGAGTGAAACTAATTATTGACTGATAGTAAATTCATAGTGCAAAAAAGAGTAATTAATTTTTATATTTTTTGGTTGCAGTATGAGAGACCTGTTGACAATTTCGTGATTTAGACAGCACTCTATTTAAGGTAAGATACGAAAATAAGTAAGTCTGAATTTTACAAAAAATCTAGTCATATTCGCAATTATTATCTACTATTTCCTATGAGTATTGAATCAAGTTAAACAGAAAAGTTGAGGCACGCTTCATGAATATCTTAATAACTGGATATAATTTTTGTTGTTGTTGTTGGAAACTATCTTTAAAAACTGTTGTTTATCCCGGAAGATGTCCCAAATCTCGTAAAATTTCCATAATTGCTTTCTGCATTTCCGTAATATGAACGCCGTTGGGTATTTTCTTTAATACTCTCTTTTGCAAGATTTGCAGATTCCTGCTGCTACTGGTCGAAGTTAACATGATTTCGTAACTAAAACATTGCGCTGTTAAATTTTATTGACTTCATAATTACTTTCATGAAAACCCGATTGTAACATTGAATACTTTGATTTGAATTTCTAAGTATGTGTTTTATGAAATGTTTACTTACAACTGATTTTACAGTTTGTTAGCAACAGTCGTAACGTTACAATTATTTAAGTGTAGGATCTAAGTACTGTAATTTTGAAATATATGCATACAGAAGATTTTTCTTAAAATATTTTCTAACTAAAAATTAAATTCATATCTTTTTTACCTTACACATGATTTGCTGGTAGGTATGTTGCACCAGATATCCAATGGTATAACAATGCGTAAATGTGTTAATATTAATCACAATGCGTTTTAGAAAATGCCACAAATGGCGCGGTAAACGCCATCTGTAGTATTCGTTTCAGCAAGTAGATGTCCACACAAGTGGACCTTGTTGGAGCATACGTAATCCTAAAATGTAGCATATTTTCTAAAACGCACTGTTAAGACAGCAGGTAAAAGTTGGTCTGTGTTCTGTTGGAGCGACGCGCTGATGAGATCCAAAAAGATCGAAATCGCGATCCGCGTCTGGCAGTTTCGACAGAATACAGACCGCTTCGAATTATTTTATTCGATTATGGTAATATGCCTATCACGTTGAGGTTAGTTACGCCGGGATTCGTTTCAGGAAGTAGATATCCATACAAATGGACCTTGTTGGAGCATACGTAATCCTAAAATGTAGCGTCACACTACAGGTGGTGTTTACCGCACCATTTGTGGTATTTTCTAAATAATCACAATGTAATTTTCACGAATGATCAGTGATTACATTCAGGTTGGGAATTAATTTTTGAATTTTTAGTTTCAGTTGTTTGATGACAATAATGTTTGCAGTGTAATTTAATAATGCTACACTTTTGTGGTAATGATTTCGCTGGTGAATCTACTTTGATTTCAATATAAAAGGCGTTTGTTTCTTTTGGTCCATTTTCCGTAACCTTAATCCTGTTCGATTGTATTATCTGGCGCCACCAGTTCCGTTCAATCCGCTTTCGCAGTTCATTTATTGTTCATCTCTCTAGAAAAGGCATTTTCATTTTGTACTGCTAGCAAACGACCGCCTGGAGTTACATAATAGCTTGCCGTATGAATATACAGTGGATTTCATTTATTACGACCTTGGTTATAGCGAGCATTTTACTACAGCGACGTTAAATATAAGTTCCTTGAATTTAAAGCATACTTTAGTACGAAATTCACGTGGCTATAGCGACTTCGGATGTAACGCCGAGTTCGGGTGTAGCGACTGTTTTTTAATAAATCGTTTGTAACAAATGGTGAAAACTATACATGCGTATCTGTATCTCCTTACGTCTGCTTGTAACTTCCGGATGTAACGACAAAATTACAGTGGTCCCTTTGTCGTCATTATATCCGAAATTCACTGTATTGCCATTTGTTTTAATTGAAATGTTTTTAGATTGTAGCTCCATTAAATTGTAGGTAGGTAATTATAATATTTAGTTTTCTTTTACAATTTCGAAATATTTGCTAAAATTCTACTTCGAATTCTGGATTTAAATTTAATTTTAGACTAAATGCTTTTCATGTTTATAGTGAGAAAATGACTTAGAACATGAACTCAGATTGCAAGTATCTTCTGTTATTTTTATTGCTACATGAATGTGCATGCGATTAAACTAAGGAATTTGTGCTTTATCTTCTTGACATTGTTGCAATGTTGCGGTTTTATTACGCATCTACTAAGAATTTCGATGCATACGTGCTTACATTGAGCTTCGCTTCACATCATTCGAATTTATAATACCAGAGGATTAAACAGAAACCTGTGACCCCCACAGAATAACTTAAGATCTATTGAGACACGATTAAGTACATGTGAGCATCGTTGTCATTACTTTATCCCAACCTAACCTAACCTAACCTACCTAAAAAATTGTAATTACCGTAATTCAGACATTCTTACACTTAATTACACTTTTTATAGGCTGTCGTGATGAATAAGCGTTTAGGTAGCTTCATATTTATTGGGCTCTTTCAATTATTTGGCAAGTTTTGAGTGAATTCAACTCTATTAATTTTGTAATACGTTCTTAAAGACTGTTCGTTCACTCATGGGCCAAATATGTCGTTTATCTAGGAAGGAGCCAGTCCTGTTGCGTTTGCGCTTATCATATTGCGATGACTTGGCGTCACGACGCTGAACGGCAGTTCTCGCGCTTCCTTATAAAAGCGGACGTCTGAAAACGGAAGCCAACGCGACGCCAACGTCGGTCTACGATTGCAGTGGTACTTTCGAATTTCGATGTGTACTTACCAATTCTGTTATCGTTTAACGTACGGATTCGCTTTGACCGTTTGTTGAAAATTACAATGCAAGATAAGAATATTGCATTGTACTTAATCTATGAATGTTACAAATACGTAAAGCGGAATTGAGTAAAGAACAATGATAGATTTACATCTACGTATGATGTTAATTAGTGAGATAAAAATTTAGGAAAGGTTTATATACGGTGATTTAAACAATAACTGTTTTGTTTATTGCATTGATACTGAGTAAACTTGAGGTTTTCTTTAGATGGAATGAGCAACAATCATATTATTTTTTTAGGGTTTCATACGAAAAACGAATGTATTCTTCCGTCTCTCAGTTTATCAGGGATGAATATTTCAACTTTTAGATGGGAATTTTTTCTTGGCAGCAAGGTTCAAACAGGAGAGTCTAAATTTCAAAGTGGACTTGAGATTTCCGACATGTATTTGGATTAATAGTAACAAATGACGTAAAAAATATCATAAATCTTTTTTTCAAAATGCAAATATTGAAGCAAAATTCACTCCAGTTTGCAAAACCCATGTAGTTGATCAGTATAAATTTGGTATTGACATGGTTAATTATTGTATTATTTTATTAAATTTGCGTAGTAAATTACAATCCCCTAAAAAAAAATCGCTTGTCTGTAAAGTCGATTTACTGACGATAGTTGAACGTGACAACGTCATAAGAAAATNAAAACATGTTTTTGTGAAATAAAATTATAATACATGTTCATAAAATTCCATGCTTTTAAAAAACAGATTCTGCTCTCGAACTGTTATAATAATCAGCGTCGATAAAAATTTCACGAATGCTTCGCTGACTTTCGAAATTCTGCATTGAAATTCCACGCTTGCGAAAAGAATGCCGTTAAAACTCTTGACTTAATATATAGTTGAGGTGCATCTGAAATTCAACTGAAAATGTCAGTAATAAAAGAGGTAGCAGGCAAATCTCTCGTCTCTGCGGAAAGATTCGGGAATATTTTTCAAATGGGACAATACAGTGTGAAATTCATAGTGAGATTTATTACACGTTCGTGTTCTGTTTTTAAAGTCTCTGTCCATGTAGAATATCATATTCTGTATCAAGTAAAGGTAACTCATACCATATCATCCATATGTCTCCCCTGTTTTGCAAAACCCATGTAGTTGATCAGTATAAATTTGGTATTGACATGGTTAATTATTGTATTATTTTATTAAATTTGCGTAGTAAATTACAATCCCCTAAAAAAAAATCGCTTGTCTGTAAAGTCGATTTACTGACGATAGTTGAACGTGACAACGTCATAAGAAAATACTGATGGAATGGTTTCAATTTTCAAAAGAAAATTTTAATTTTATTTGTTTGATAGATATTTTGTATGGATATAGAGAAGGAGGTAAATGGAAATGTATTATTGTATAGCAGCTGTCCACGCGG